GGAACGAGGGGTTATCTCTATTCACTTTCGCAGTCAGCGAGTGACGGTGTCTTATATCATGCAATGTTGTTCTGTCTTGGTCTTGGTGAGCCCGCGCTGAGTAGTGAAGAGTGCGCCAGACTTCGGAATGCTCTTGGGCCGGCTCTTACACCACTGGCTATTGCCGGGGCGGCCTTCTCGCATTGTTTAGTTATGCGTGTCTCTTGTTGCGTGGAGCAGATGAAGGCGCAGGTGTCCTTTTGGGCTTCACTCATGGCCAGAGAAGGAACCGTACTGTCAGGCTGTTTCCAGCTTCTGGCTTTCCTCATCTCAGAGATGCGGAATTACGGTGTTTTGGAGACATAGCACGTCGTTCTTCGTAGGTTTGACTTTTACAAAGATGGGCGTTGAAGAAATGATAGGAAGAAAAGAAAACCCGAAGAAGCAAGCACCTGGCCAACAGTAAGGTGCTCTGAATTTACGGACTGCAATGCATTGAAGCGTTGTAGAGTACAGTCCGGCGGCTACGCAGCGGAGCGCCGCCGGATTCATTACTCTCCAACACCTCCGGAGGACCAGCCGAAAACTATGTCCCTGGAGTCCACGGGGAGCAAGGGGGGGACCCCCCGCGCGGACATTGTGTCACGCACACTGTACATCTTTTACTTGGAGCAGTAAAATACAATTCAATAATACGTGAGATGTAGCACGGTTCACTGCGTGTGTGGCGGGCACACACTACGTTCAAGTGAGAGTGGTGATGGCCCACACTCCTTGCGGAGGACATGGGTCCACCTCCAGTCGAGAGACTGTCACGTCTGTGAAGCAGTTCCCGCGCTTGCTGCGCGCGCTTGGTCAAGAGACCGTGTAGATGACATTGACGCTCGTCGCGCGCCGGACGTGCCGTCCTTGGCTCCTTACTACAGGAACGGAGAGCGCCTCCGCCTACCAGCTATGGGTCCCTCTCCCCGTGTATCCCGATTAGGGCAATGTTCCTCTACTGTATCGATACCTGACTCAAGTCCTTGTGTCTGACCTGCCTCTTTCACCGGAGTTTATACGTGTGCGGATTAGACCGTCAGTCTGCTCCCTCTGACAGTCCCCTATATCGCTGAAAGCACAGGCTGAAGCGCCTATGTTTGGTATAGGGGGCCCAACGGCCCACTGGCCCAGCATAGATTGCTTTAGCTTTACTGCTGCGTTAGTCATGGAGCATCACATGACCCCTACTCGGATAGAGTAGGATACTGTCGGTGGACTGTTATTCTGGTACTCATGAGGTAGGGGCAGCACAAGAAGGGATAAAGATGCATGATCTAGCTAGAAAGAAGCGGCCACAGGGCCCTATTTATGCCGTAGTCAGAGGGACCCTCAGGTGACTTACATAGGCACCAAACTGGCCCCATACGTGAGGTCTTTATGGGTCCCCGATACATGGTCTCATAATGATCCTTCAGGTGGCCCTCCCTTGATCCTTCAGGTGACCTACTAACAGCGGTGCCTATACTAGCCAACAGATACACTCTTCTGAGTGTAGCGGCCCTTGGCAGACATGTACTGGCACATGCTACGTGCAGACACTGTTGCTTTAGAACAAGAAGGGATGAGAGGCCCGTTGTTGGTGGATAAACGCTAATTGGATGAGAAGACAATGCGGGCAGGGGAGGCTGCATAGCCCCCCCACACTCGTACGGACAGAGGTGTCCGGACAGAATCCTCGACGAGAGGTATAAGAAGAACACACGCCCCGGCGAGGGACTTTCTTGGTCTTTCCTCTTTCTTGACTGACCGAAGACAGGAGATGAGCATTGAGAAGACGGTCTACACTACAACGTGCTGTTTTGGTGACAAACTACGATTTGTATCAGTTCCAACGTGGGTCAACCAGCCTAGCTCTGCAGCAATGTCCGCTCGGAGGCAGCGTTTCAAGGGCGTTTTTGAAGCAGTTGACGAGGAATGCGCGCAGTCGGAGACATCGTTAGGTGAGCAATGCAACTCGAGAAGAGTCACCATGTTTTCTTGCTAATGTGGAACTTGTTCTGGGCAGACAGCTGTGATCATGATGCTCAGGTCGGGGCCCCGGAAGCCTTCGGGAGTTTGTGATACCTGATTCACAGAGCGACGTTTCGGTCAGGTCGAAAGAGGCATTCGATTCTGATCACATGCCCACGACCCCTAGTTGTGCACAACCCTCCTCCGATACGGTCTATCGCCGAGTGGCGGAGGAAAGCCGTTCGAAGCGTAAGGCGATGCAAGAACAGAGTCGATGGAGTCGGAGGAAGATGTCCACATGCTCTAGTCCTCGTAGTAGTCCTCTCGTGGTGGACGCGGTTCCAGACAGCGTCGGATCTCAACCGAGAGTGAATGGCCATCTCAACACCGAATGAGGTGTGCAGGCCTTGTTAAAGGCACTCCCATGTCTGCAGAGTGCGGTGGCCTCGGCCAAGGAAGAACTTGTTCGTGTGGAAAGCACGCTTGGAATGGCGGAAGAATTGTTAAAAGCCTGCGGTGGTGTGTGCAGCTGCAGCTGTCTCCATGCAAACGGCAGAAATCCCGCCGTGAAATATCGCACTCTCGGAAGCCCATTCAAGGCAGGAAGTTCTGATGAAGAGGATCGAAAGAAGAGCGCCTGGCCCCAGCGTGTTCAAAGGAAAACGGATGTGGCGGAGGAGACGATTGTACTTTCGGACTCAGATGCTCCACTGTGTAAGCCCAGGCGAAGGCGTGGATGCTAGCTACTCGACTGGATGGAATGGTAGGATCGGGTGAACTATGCTCGCCCCAAGTTAAGGTGTTTTTGGGCACGTAGATGCAGGGTGCTCTGAATTGTGGCGGGAGACAGTCCGGCGGCTACGTAGCAGACCGCCGCCGGATACCCACTCTCACTCTAACCCCCGGAGGGGTCCATCCCAAAACTATGTTCTTGGAGTAAACGGGGAGCAAGGGGTGAAGCCCCGCGCGGACGCCTTCGTTGTCCTTCACCCGGCTACAGACAGTAGAAAAGTAGACGGAATAAAATTGTATATTTCGACCATATCGCCATTCATTCAAGATTTTGATGAATGAATTGAATAAAGACTCCTGATTTTCGATTCATCGAATTTGAAGACCTTACCCGATTCCGCTTCATTCAATTCAAGGGTCCCGAGGCCGATTCGACTTCAAAATCTTCAAATATCAGCCCTAGCCGTGCGCCCCTGGATATGGTGCCCCTGAGCGATGTGGCGATGTGCCCAGCAAAGCACTTCTTCCGATCCCAGTAGCGTAGCGTTCCCGCCATTCTCAGAAACTGGATGATGCCAGTGTGGCTAACAATCAAGCTCGAACTTGACAATTCTCAATCAAGTTTGACTTTTCGTCAAGTCAAGTTCTCAAGTCAAGTTAGGTAGTAGTCATCAATCAATCGAGTTCAAGGAGTGTCAAGTCGTCAAGTACTTGACGCCACATGGCAAAGAGAGGACTACCCTAGATCGGGAAGTAATCCGCCAATTACATCGCTTCGAATCGTGGGATTCGCCCTCAAATATTGTGGGGCCGAAAGTGGTTGCTTAGCGCGCATTAGGCGTAAGTGGGCGCGCGGGGCCCCAAACCGTCCCAACACAAGCGAAAATGAACCCCACTCTTATCACACAAACAGCCATCAACAACGCGTCAATTCGACGCGTGATAACGTTGCCACACGCGTTCCGGGGGGCCCAAGTCGGTCATTCAGCACTCCAAGCTCCAAAAATTTTGCGCGGGATTTCTGCACCGCGAGTGCCTGTACCAATTACCGGATTAGGCATAGTACATCAAGTACTTGACAAGTTGTCAATCAAGCTCATTGACTGGTCAAGTCAAGTTTCAATCGAGTTGGACATACCTTCAATCAATCAAGTTCGATGGTCGAAATTGAACTCGATTGATTGTTAGCCACACTGGATGATGCCCTTGAATGGGTGATCTCAGGCGCTTGTACGGCACGCCCAATGCATCAGAGGCTGCCTTCATCGTACGGTAAAAACCTTCGACAAAGAGCTCCGATGCCGCGACAGTGCGAGCTTCGAGATCCTCTTGGGTGCGCCGTCTGAATGGGAGTGCCCATGTATCGGTCGCCATCCGTTTGCTAGCATTCTCATCATCTTCGTCATCGTATATGGTGTTGTTGCATAGCTTATCTAATGGAAGTGCGGAGATGATATTGAATAATCAAGGATATGCTGTTAAGAATGGAAACTTCAGTTTTGCGTGCACTACAGTACATTTCTATGTACCTTGATTTCTTTTCCGTGTCAGCGTCCTTTTTCCCGGTCAGTGGGCCCGTCCCTGAGGATCGGGGACGGGGATTTGGCCGACATTTTTTTTGGGGTTGTATTACGCCCGGAGGGTTCCCCCATAGGGCCACTACGCTAAGCTACGGACCTACTGTACATTGTTCCATCTCACCCCAAGCCCCACGCTTCTTTTCATCTGTTTCCAGCCTCGTTCGCTGTGACATGACAGGCCTGCTTGAAGGTCAGTTTCTCCAAGTGTTCAGCGTCCTACCTTCAGCGACTGAAGCGCGGTCTGCCAAGTTGAAGGCTGTTGTGTTAGTATGATTTTCTCTTGATTAGTACATGGCCCATTAACGGTCCATACTGAAGCGTTTTGTCGCCAATGCGAACTGTATCGTCGCACGCACCGCCCCAATATCAGGCTGCCACTTGTCGTCGTCTGACTCTGACCTGCCTCCTAGGAAGAAAGACAGGTCTCCCACCTTTCCGCGAGCATATCGCAGCATAATCTCTCGTTGTACCGTCCATCTTCTGCATCGAAAGAGGAAATGCTCCACCGTTTCTGCAGACTGCCCACAAGTGCACTCATCCGATTCCACTGCCCCGATTTTGCGAAGGTAGCTATTCAGCCGTGATTTGCCAGTTCGAAACTGTACCAACACTTCGGATTCCCTTCTCGTTAGCTCGTCGTACAACTTGCGGGTGTGCTTCCCCGGCAGTGCCTTATCGATGCGCTTTGAGTGCTTCCCAACCCCTTCTGGGATCTGACTAACGCGAGTGTGTTCGTTGAGCAGCAGTCGTAACGTCGTTGCTCTTGCCTGAAACGTTGCTGGTTCAGCGATGCATTCATCTCGCGTCGCTCTTTTCGCTTGCATTTTGGCCAGTGGCCCAAGGGTGAACTCCTCATTCTTTGCAGGCACCCAACGAAGTTTGACTCTGCAGCCTCTTTTCGCAAGATACTCAACAGATCCGTATATCGCCCGTATCGTGCACTGACCAGACTGCTGCCGCGGTCGCCCGATGACTTGCAGGACAGCGCGGTTGCTTGTCACAACTGTGAGCTCTCGGTCATGAAGACCTAGAGGCACACACCTCAGGGCCATGGCGATTGCCTCGAGTCCTGCTGTGTAGACATTCTGCTCATCACTGGAGCCAAGGGTGACGGAGTAGCTTGCCAGCACCTCGTCTGCGTTGTCACGGGAAGCATCCCGAACGACGCCTCCCAACCCGACCTTGCCTTTCCTTTGCGAGCTGGACGTCGCGATAGTGATGTCCTCCGGGTCATCCGACTTCAGCACCTCCGCTCGTTCTGCCTCGTACGTTGCCTGCACTCGTTCGTCCCACGGCGCCAGTGCGAACTCATGGATGACTTCCAGGCGTTTGGTATCTAGTCTTCCCATCGCCGAGGCGAGCTTCTGCATTGGCGACGCATACCTCCTGTTCAGCTTGAGCCTCAACGATGTCAGAGGATGCGTCTTCGGGAGCGTCCGCATCCTTATCCAGAATTTCGCTGCCGCTTGAGCATGCCGTTCTCGGAACGATTGCACGCCGGCCTCGGCCTCGGCCACTGCCGTTGCCACTGTGCGAAAGCCTCCCGTGACAGCCTGGGCTCCGATTCGCTGGGCCCTGCCAATCCACGCCGCTTCTTTCACCCCGCACGCGTGCGACCACACGTTTGAGGCATAGTCCATGGCTGGCGCCACCGTCGCTACGAACAGTTGCCTCGCCATCCGTGGCGAGGCCATCTTCAGTCGTTTCAAGCACATGGCCGCGGCCAGCCCCTTGGCGGCTGCTCTGGCGATGTGCTCTTTGAAGCGAAGCGCTTTGTCCATGATGACTCCCAACAGCTTCACGTTGCTCTTCGGCTTGACATCGTTTCCTTTGACGATGAGAGGCAGGTCGCTGTCGCGCTCCGCGATGCGTGTGAAGTGGATGACGGATGTCTTCTCTGCTTCAAATGTGGCGCCGCTGCGCTTCTCCCAATCAAGCGCCTCATCAATAATCGATTGAATACCATCTCTGTTTGACTCTGCCGTTGGCCCCGTGACCCAGGCAGAGTAATCGTCCACGAAGGCGATGGAGCCGCCATTGTTACTGATCCGTCTTTGCACCAGGTCTGCGTTGAAGAAAAAAAGCCACTGGCGACAGAGGATCCTGGGTAGGCCGGCCTGCGGCAGGGTTTGTTGCTCGGATGTGTGCCGTTGACAACCACCGACGCGGTCCGTCCCGAGCAGAATGCGTCTATCCACTTGACCAGACGACTCGGGATGCCTCGGGCTTTCATCCTTTCGAGCATTCGCTCTTTGCACACTCCGTTGTATGCGCCTTTGACGTCAAAGCTGATGAGGCTGAGCACTCTGCCCGTTCTCCAGGCCTTGTAGATCCGCTCCTGCAGAAGCACAAGTGCTTGATCTGCGGACCTGCGCTTCCGTGCACCAAAGTGGTTCGCGGGCAAAAGCCCTTGAGCCTCTACTGCAGAGCTGATACGTTCCGCAACGACTGCTTCCAGGATTTTGCCAAGCGTTGACAAGAGAGAAATCGGTCGCCACGCCTTGGCCAAGGTGTAATCCCCTTTATCTGGTTTCCTCGGGGGAATGATCTTAGCCGTTCGCCATTGATGAGGCACGACGCCCTCTCGGAGCGATGAGCTGAAGAGCGTCCACACCCGGTGCTTGACCACGTGCCAGAGCTTCTTCCACACGATCGCAGGAAGGCCATCCTCACCAGGCGCTTTCCAGGGCTTCGCCGCCATCACCTTCTCCTCAATCTCTTGCAAGGTGAGGTCTGGCATGGCTTAGAAATCCTACTCCTTCCCGGGAAGCCACCCGGCCGGCCGTAGCTATGCCTTAACGACCCCGTCAGTCTGTTGCCCCTACTGGAGACCTTCCCACAGGAGTACCTCGACCCTGCCGTGATCGACTTTTAGGCCCCCCTACTCGTGGCCGCCCCCAAAAAGTGGGTGAGCCAAAGCGAATCCCAATAAAGTGGGGGCGGGCACGAGTAGTAGAATCAATTGTATGTAGAAATTGGCTATGGAGGCTTTTTTTGTCAACTTTACGCGCGCCTTCGATGTACCTACGATGTACCTACGATGTACCTACGATGTACCTACATACCGTGGGTCCGCCAGGATACAGCGCCAAACAGCGACATAAGGCGCCACACAGGTCACCACGCCCCGGGCCCTAGGACGCCACGCAGGGCCATACAGCGCCACCACACAGACACTGCCACGCAGCGACAGACAGCGACAGACAGCGCCGTACAGCGACAGACAGCGCCATACAGCGACAGACAGCGCCATACAGCGACAGACAGCGCCATACAGCGCCACCACACAGACACTGCCACGCAGCGACAGACAGCGACAGACAGCGCCATACAGCGCCATACAGCGACAGACAGCGCCATACAGCGACAGACAGCGCCATACAGCGACAGACAGCGCCATACAGCGACAGACAGCGCCATACAGCGACAGACAGCGCCATACAGCGACAGACAGCGCCATACAGCGACAGACAGCGCCATACAGCGACAGACAGCGCCATACAGCGACAGACAGCGCCATACAGCGACAGACAGCGCCATACAGCGACAGACAGCGCCATACAGCGACAAACAGCGCCATACAGCGACAGACAGCGCCATACAGCGACAGACAGCGCCATACAGCGACAGACAGCGCCATACAGCGACAGACAGCGCCATACAGCGACAGACAGCGCCATACAGCGACAGACAGCGCCATACAGCGCCACCACACAGACACTGCCACGCAGCGACAGACAGCGACAGACAGCGCCATACAGCGACAGACAGCGCCATACAGCGACAAACAGCGCCATACAGCGACAAACAGCGCCATACAGCGACAAACAGCGCCATACAGCGACAGACAGCGCCATACGGCGCCATACGGCGCCACACAGCCACGCCCTGGGCCCTAGGACGCCACGCAGGGCCATACAGCGACAGACAGCGACAGACAGTGATATACGACGCCACAAAGAGCCATGCAGCAACAGACAGGACCATCCAGGGCATGGGGGCAGAGCACTGGCGATGATGGCCGGCAACCAAACTTTTCAGTGATATACTTGCGTGACGTTATCTCGGGATGATGTATGCAAGTGCTGGTCTGGATACCCAATTATTACTTATTGTAGCCACGGACTCAAAAAAGGAAAAAAGGCATCAAAAGACTCCATTGCGCTTCCTCACCAGATCCCATGGTCGTCCTAATATACTACCAAGAAGACTGTCTATCTATGCGGTACCGAGATATATTTTCCCCAGGCTGTGGGGGCAAGGAAGCTAAGGGCCCGGCAAGTGAGGCATCTGCATGAGCCTGGATCACAGAGAACGCAGGGAAGAAGGCAAGAAAGAAAACACGCAATCTGTTGGTAGGTCTTCTTTGCATGCAAAGATGGGGTTAACCGGTGTTGTTGTATTCGTCTTGTCTTCTAGCTAGCTAGGGAGGCAAGGCCATAATGATAGCTCTATGGCCTCTCCACCTACACACGTGACTGACGTCACGTGAGCTACGAGAAGGCTAGCTATGGGGATGGATACTGTCAGAGGGAGCAGACTGACGGTCTAATCCGCACACGTATAAACTCCGGTGAAAGAGGCAGGCTAGACACAGGGACTTAAGTCAGGTATCGATACAGTAGAGGAACATTGCCCTAATCGGGGATACACGGGAATTGGCCCCGATTCAGGCCCTCCACGGGTCCCAGATAGGTATCTATTCGTATAAATACACCTTCAATGTCGCACAGATAGATAGAAAACATGCATCATCGTTTGGACTTAATTGTGCCTGCCCTTATCCTTCCGCCCGCGCTCTCAGCTTGCTGGGAGTATCCTTCGAGAGCGGGCGAACGCCCGGGAAAGACCCCCGGCAACTTAATATTAAGCTCCTGGCCCGTGTCGGCCGCACCGCCAGGCCCAGGCCCGGGTGAAGGAGTTGTGCCAACCCAACCCGAAAAATAGACCACATTGGCTTAAAGGGCACAGGGAGCTTGTGTTGGCACAACCCTTGGCGTCCACATTGGCCGGTGTACTAATGACCGCGGAGAAATTTCGACTCGGTGCGACGGAAAAACAAACCCCGCACCGACATCCCTGCTTTGCTCCTGCATCACATGATCGCAAAAATGTCGGGCAGCAGCAGCCCAGCGCCTGACACCTGGCCTAATCAAAAACGACGCAACACCAACGTCAAGTGGTGTTTCAAGCAAATATCTTCAAGCCTGTAAGTTACCCGCAAACACCGCTTTTCCATTCCATGCTTACGCTGGCCTCAGGCCCTCTACGTCTCTGATCTTTCCGCAATGAGTTCCACGGCTGCAGAAGATGAACGGGTCTATCAGGAAGATCTCAACGACGACGAACGAATAATCGCAGAGAGGTTATATCATTGGGTGGACGCAAACCCAGCTGCACAATGGAAGCAGTTAGACAGAGTTCCAGGGGTGGAGCAATGTTCGGAACTAAGTGATCTGGCTAGAACGCACTTGCCGAAGGTTCGATTATCCTGCCCTCATTAAGAGAGGCGCCAAACTGATGCTTGCAGAACATCAAAAATGCTGCAATATTTAGAACACAGACTGGATACAAACTTCGGGAGACAGGAGAACTTATTCCCATTTACGAAAGTAAGGGGTGCAGTATAAAAAAGGCAATTGATATACGGGCCCAACCACTTTACTACACGGGCGCTCCTTACACGGGCTGTATGGACGACCGGCCAGCCCCACCAACACGGCCCGTCAGCCCACCAAAGGCGGTGAGACCACCACAACACACGCATTCGCTCACTAAGATGACATCTTCTACCGCTAATCTGATAACCTTGTCATCACTACTTCAATGAATTAATACGATGCGGCCGTCCGGCTCTTTAACGCTATCTAAAGGTACTCTAAGAATCGGTCCAGAATTCGAGAAGAAATTATGCAACAGACATCGACATATGTGCACAGTCAGAACCTACCGTTAGTCCGTTACAGGCGCGAGGATGGCCAGCTTTCCAACGTACCCTGCGAAGATGCCATGGATCTAGTCACCCTCTCGCTCGTCCGAACAATAACACACTCACTGATGCCTGTCTCGCTGCGCGGGTTCGGTGCAGTCGAGTTCGCCGAGGCAGCGGGCGGCTTACGGGAACCCGAACGACCAGTCGAGCTTGGTCGCGGCGCTTGCCTCTCGTCATCACTTATGAGCTCCCACCGACCGTTGCCTCCGTACGCTCGGCCGACTTCTGCGCCCAGTAGCCCGAGCGCCTGTCGTCTTGCCCGGCCTGAGGATGGCCGTCTTCTTGCCCGTCACTGTCTGACTCTTTCGGCGTCGGCTACCCGCTCGATTAACCACCATACTCGTAGGGACAGGCTGTACCGTATTCTTCGGTCGTCCACGAAGGCTCGTTGCGATCCTGGGATCCAGGATTCGGCGGTAAGGGTCCCGTGAAGAAGGCTCCGTAGATGCCACCGTGGGTGGACATCCCACCTCCTTAGGAACTCACCTGCTTCCAATTTGCAGTAGATCGTATGGCGGCAAGGGATCCCCAGTTGCCAGGATACGGAACAGTTCTCGCCGCAGTCTCCGATTGGTTCTGGCCAAGGGCGAGACCTGCTTGGTATCGCTTTCAAGGCGTAGCGGTGTTCCCTGGCTATGAGATTAAGCCCTGTTGCAGATGCAGTCATGCGGAGCTCGCCCAGGTACTCAGAACCAGGGCTAGAGTAGGTACGCGTGGTTAAAACTTCATCTTGTGCACAATTGTCGATAAAATCTCGTTCCTGATCACCCAACATGCCCTCTATCGCCTCGATGAGCCCAAATAGATGGTTCATTCCATTGAGCAGATAGCTCTTGACGTTGTTGTTGCTTGCCTCCGTGCCAGACGTGACGCGAATACCGAAGTTACGATGCTTTTGATGAAGCACTGAGACCATTGCGGGCTCAGGGCAAGTAGGTATTGTAAAGGTAGATCAGAATGGCCTCCTGGTCATCGAACTCGTCGCATAAGCGCACCCAAACCTTCTCGTAGTCTTCCTTTGTCTCTGCGAAAACCACGAGCTTCCACATTTCAAGGACACCACGGTAGTTGTGGGGTACGGTCGTGGAGACGTTGCTCCGAGACAGCGGCTCGTCTTGTCTCCCGCCGCAAGGACCGCCTCCTTGTCGCGCGAATTTAACGTTGCCTGCGATTGCTCAGTATTAGAGCCACCGTCGCTGTCTTCCTTGGCGTGCTTCCACTTGCGCTTGGCGTTAAGTAGTACGTTCGAGTTGATATGGAAGATACAAAGCTGTTGTTGAGCGTCTGGAAACTGATCTTCCAGTGCCGCCTTCATCTGTTGGTCGAAGTCCGTGATCACAACGTTGGGTAGTTGAATTCCATGCCTCTCAACCAACTGCCTAATCCCTTCAGCGAGGAATTGGAAGCCTTCACGCCTTTCGTTATCGATCAAGCCGAAAGCAGCGTTGTAGACCGACTTGAGGCAAGTTTGACCCGTCGCCTGGAAGAGCGGGAGCTTGAAGCGATTTGTGTTGTAAGTGTTGTCGAAGCTTATCACCTCCGGGAAGCGTTTCCACATACGGATACAGTATGGAAAGGTCCATACCAACCCAACAAGGCGGTCAGGTTCGGTCTCTGACCACTTGGCGATATAGGGGATGCCCCTCTCGTCGAAAAGCTTGATTAACGCGGCTGTGGGGCTCATTCCGCCAAGATTCTCGCGGCGCAGAAGCGCCCTGGCGTTATATATGTCCCTTCTCATATAGACG